AGGTGGTGAAGGTGAGTTTAAGTACTTTGGATCAACTGTTCAGAGCAGGATGGAACAGCTGGAGAAAAGTGTCAGAAGTGATCTGTGATAGAAGAGTGTCAGCTAAGGTGAAGGGAAAGGTTTACAGGACGGTTTTTAGATCGATAGTATTAAAAGTTATTACCTACCTAAAGTATGGGCAAACTACGGCCCAGGGCCTGGATGCGGCCGACTTGGCTTTTTATTCTGGCCAGTCAAACGTATCTAAATTATGTTACTAATTTATATTATCATTATACTTCTGCCTTTTTCCTGCAATGCCCACATTTTCCCAGTAGATTGTATAGGAAAGGCTAAAAGCATTTTAGCAGTTTAGCCTTTATACATGACCTTTACTTGTCATTTATCTTACTTTATCCGAATGCTTCATCTATCTGCTCCAGCCCCGGCCCCGGAATTTTAGGCCTGCAAGTCAAAAAGTTTGCCCACGCCTGACCTACCTGTTACTCATGCTGCATTTTGGACCAGCTGACATTTAGAGATTTTAACAGATTATTGGGACAGCCCGATAGCAGAAAGTTACATGAATTGAGGGTTTCCGTCATGTCCCCTTGTGGACAGAAATGTTTTCACCTCCCCCTAACTCCCGCTTTGTCTGACCCACACCCCTGCGAATTCAAATACTCTTGAGACCCTGATAACATGTATATTTTTATCTGTACAAACCACCGTATGAGTTGCGGCCACCTAGTGACTGGAGGCTTGTTATCATTCATGTGGTGGTGTCCTAAAGAACTGCGTTAAAAACAAACCTGATAAACCAACATTCCAACATGGTCTCTTTTTACATGATCTACTATTTCACAGTCACGTAACAACATCTGTACCAATGTCAACACAAATCAACATTTTCTACTTAAATGTAATCACAATTTTGGTCACACAGTGGCTCCACAGTGTCAGACACTGCTTCTGTCAGTCTGAGTATGGTGGCTCCCACAATCTATCCACCACTTCCTACTTTGGAAGAAGTGGGAAGAAAAAAAAACATTTGACAAAAATTCATGTTTACAATTAAGTAGAAAATATTGATTTGTGTTGACATTGGTACATATATATACGTATATGTACCAATGTTACATGTTAAAATCTTTTATTTTGAATAAACAATGGCTTATCACGTATATGTCAGTGCCTGGATAAGGCAGTAAGAAAGAGACCAGCACATGTTAAAATCCTTTATTTTGAATAAACAATGGCTTATCATTACAGTCAGTGTTTGTGAAAATGTTTCTAGGATGTTATTGAAAATACAGTCATTTCCAGCCTACACTACTACTACTTTTTTCACACGCTTTGAACCCAGTAGTTTAAACAATGATGCTGGGATTTTTTGCGCAAGTTGCACATACACGCACATATACGTGAGTTGGTTATACAGGAGTTAAATGTTAAAACACTGTTTATGTACAACACTCTTATGCTCGGTGTGGCTGATAATAAAGACTCCGACTCCCCTGTTTCTGTTTATCTCTGCTGTGGACAAGCACAAAGTGAAGGGAGTTAACCCCAGAGCTAATGTTAAACCAGCCGTGTTACAGGCACTGTTCACCAGTCGCGTTACAGGCACTGTTCAGAAAATAGCATTTGCAGTGGAACCTCAAGATATGAGCAGGATCGAGCTTGTAACTCGAGGAGCTTGTATAGTGAATCATGTCTTCCCATAAGAAATAACAGAAAAAAAAATCAGTTCCTACCCTCTAAAAACTTATTCGTGCTAAAAACAATGAAAAAAACACACACAAAAAAATTATAGTATATAAGGATTCTTGTGGTGGCGCTTTGGCCCAGAGGCAATGTCTCTGTCATTGGTGTGGAACCCCAGGGTTCACCTCCTGGACAAGTTCGAATCCCGGTTAGGGTGGTTGGTACCTTCCAGTGGACTCACCACCCACAGGAAGGTTTGGGGGGTTGGTATGGTGCAGTGTGATTTGGGTGGTGACTGCTGCCCCCGCGACCCGGTAACGGATAAGCGGATGAAAATGGATGGGTGGATGGGATATAAAATAAAATGTGGTTTAAATATCGTTCTTACCTACGAGACAGACTATACAGTAGCGGCTAATGGCGACATGTGTGGAGGAGGAGGGTGGGACCTTACACATACCTAATTTACATAAACTTAGAATTAACTTAACTTGCGTATTTTTTTTAGATTTTTTTCTTGCTTTTTTTGATTTGTATTCTTTCTTTAGCGGGCACCACGCTAAAATTTATCGACAATTTTATGCTTTGTTTCCATTGCCATCGTGTGTTTCTTCTTCTCACTACCATCCTTACCACTCACTCTCTTAGGACTCATCACTATTATGAAGAATAATGCACAAAATTGAGAGAAAATTACATAGATAACGCAAACACAAGACAGAAGACTCGTGGGAGATGGTCGTACGGAAGTTGACGACAATGTGAAGTGAACGAGTGAAGCAGCGTGGGCTACTCCAACTGCTTGGCCACCTAGCGTCTGTGTCTGTAAGCGTGGTCATATCTCAAATCTTTACACGTATCTCGCAAAAATCTCGAAATACTCGTATGTCAAGACACTTGTATCTCGAGGTTCCACTGTAAAAAAAAATTCCCAGACTGCAAGTGTTGTTGCTCATTCTTATCCTATTTATGACAAGGTCCATAAACTGTTTACTGCTAAATAACCAAGTTCAGTCAATGTTAACAAAAAATAAATTAAAGTTAAGCACGCACATGACTTCAAGTGAGCTAGAACAAAGTTGAATTTTAGCATAGTTACTGTAATCAGCAAAAAAGGACTTAACATACATCTCTAGGACGTGCTGGAATGCATCGTCAGTTACGTATGTTCCTGGGGTCATCGGGGGTTTTGGGTCTGATCATACCCCCTCACACGCAAGTGACCCAAACGGGGTTGATCAAGTCCCGGTTTGCATCCCAGTCCACGGGCTCCTACAGTCCAAGGGCTTGCCCTCTTGATCTAAAGCCATTGAGTGGCTTTTTTTGCAGCTTCAGTGATGGAACGGATGGCTCCCATGTTGACAGCTCTGGTAACTCCCAGCCCTGCCAGAGCTTTGCAGATAGAATGGCCAGCAAACCCCCTGCAACCCACCTTAATTGGTTTGCAGTGAGCCCACCAGCCCCGTCTTCTGCACTCCTCCACCAGGTCCTGGTACTTTGCCATCTTCCTCTCATTCGCCTCCTACATATGCTCCTCATCAACAGGAGGTGTTGCAAGGATCCTCTTCCTGCACACAGGGGGCAGGCCGGTGTCTCGCTCTTGCCCCAGGTGTGTAGGTTTGCTGGGCTGGGCAGGGTGTCATAGACAACCTGGACCCAGTAACTGATGCGATAGCTATCAGCGCTTCTGATGATGAGGTTGTCGCTGTGCCAGAGAGTCTCTGCTATGTACCGACAGTACAGGAGGGGGCTCAGCACACAGCCCTGTGGGGTGTCAACGCGCAGTGTGTGGGTGGGGGAGAGGTGGGAACCCAGTCTCACAGTCTGGGGACGGTTGGTAAGGAAGTCCTTTATCCAGGAGCATGTGAGGGGGGGAAGGCCGAGACTGTCCAGTTTATTGCAGAGCCTGTCTGGGATTATAGTGTTAAAGGCGGAACTGTAATCGTCAAAGAGCATCCGGACGTAGCTCTGCTGCTGATCTAGGTGGTTCAGTGCAGAATGGAGAGCTACGTCAATGGCGTCCTCCATGGATCTGTTTGCCCGATATGCAAACTGGTGGGGTTGAGGTCTGGGGGGAGATGGTCCTTGATGTGCTGAAGAACTAGTCTCTCAAAGCACTTCATTATAACCGGAGTGAGGGCCATCGTTCATGGTCGGTAATCGTTCAGGCTGGTGATGGGGGACTACTTTTGTACTGGGATTATTGTGGTTGATTTTAGGCAGGGTGGGATGATTGGTAAAGGTGGGTGCCAGCTGGTGGGCACACGCTCTGAGCACTTTACCAGGTACTCCGTCTGGGCCAGCAGCCTTCTTGGGGTTCACTGCCAGGAGCACCCGTCTGACTTCATGCTTCTGTAAAGTGAGTGGAGTGGTTCAGGAGCCAGATGGATCGGTGATAATCAGCACACAGCAAAAATAATAATTTAGAGAACGTCCAAAAACACCTTAAAATTAAATAAAATGGCCTTAATTATACAACCATGTGTACATTTTGTGATAAAAACAGAAAAATGTTATATAGGGCAGTGGTGCCTTGGTGGTTAAGGAGGCAGACTTAGGTCCAGAATGTTTCAGTTTCAAGTCCCTAAAATGCTTTAAAAGGCATTTAAATGTCCAAAAATACCTAAACATGTGCATTGGTTAAAAAAAAACCCCACTGGTTGACAACAACATGAGGACGGGGGAGGGGCTAACTCACTCCACTCTCAATCAAGGTACAGTGTCAATTGAATTCAACTTCAGTACATATCAAAACAAAACGCTCTTTCTTGTTAGAATTACGGAACAAGACATTCTTAATAAATTCATACGTGGAGACGTAAAAGCGAAGGCAGTGCTTGCTTAGTGGTTAAGGAAGTGGACTTGGGACCGGTAGGCTACAGGTTCGAGTCCACCGGCTACCAAGTTCACCACTGAGGTACTCTGAGCATGGCACCCTCCTCCCCCTCCCCCCCCGGCACTTTAAGCTTCCCCCTACTAATTTTGGTGATGGGTTAAAAGAAGAGGTCTATAGCTAAGTCTCTAGCTCTTAGTAACCTTTTTGAATAGTACACAAAAACTATATTACCTTCAATTGTAAGTCGCTTGTTAATGTTGGTAAATGTTACATTTAGATACAGATACAGAAACCTCTTTCCATTTACAGGATCACACTTATTGGACCTTCTTAATTACTTTCTGCCGTCTAGTTATCTTAGGAACCTAAATACTCTCTGCGGACCCAACACATTTTGAAGGACGTTGATTTACCGTACAGAATGTTCCTTATGGTGTCTTAATGGTAAACAGTTTCATTTGTTGATTCCACAGGCAGCATGACAAATCGGACATCATCCCACAGAACCAACAAGGTCAACGTGAAAGAAGAAAACCAACGAGATGACAACACGGATGTTGGGTATAAGGATGCTGGTCACTGCAGCCTTAATACCCACAATTTGCTCCTGGGACTTACTGTTATGGGTATGAGAAGCCTGTTTGTCTTCATTAGTCACCTAATGAAAGTATTTCTTGTTAGCCAACCAAAACATTAATAGTAGTCTCAGTGTCAGCTTTCACATTACTTAAAGAAAAATATTCCACATTCAAAAAATGTTAGCTTAAACCTGTGATTCTCAAAAACTTTCTGTCATGTACCTCTTTTTTTCTAGTGTTTCCCAAACTTTTGTTCATATTTTATTCCCATAATTTAAGTCGCAAACCTTCGCGACCCAAGTCAATAGACATTATTTGTAAACTGGGAAACATGATGCAAGACAACGCAAAAAAAATCTCTTGCAACCCACCTAAGGGTCGCGACACAGTCCTTGCGAAACAATGCCTTAGGGGACAGGAATTTTTTCACACTCCCCATCTCCTGATGAATTGAAATACTATTGTTAAATATGTATTTTTTTATCCGTGCAAACGACAGTTGCTGCCACCTAGTGACTGGAGGCTTGTTTATCGTTCAATCATTACAGCAACGTCACACTTCCGTCCAGTGTACCACATTCCATTGGAAGGCTCTCATGCCCAATCCCCCCCACACACATAACTCATAAAGCAGTATGTGTAGCATAGCACAGTTCTTCTTTTGCTTTTGACTTTGTCCCTTTTTCAGGGGTTGCCACAGCATATCATTGTTTTCCATTTCACCCTTTTCTCGGCTTCTTCTACTCTGATTCCAACTATCTGCATGTCCTCCCTCACCGCATCCACAAATCTCCTCTTTGGCCTTCCTCCTTGTCTCCTACCTGGTAGCATTATTCTACCAATGTATCCACTGTCCCTCCTCCACACATCTCCAAACCATCTCAATCTGGCTTTTCTAGCTTTTTCTCCAAACCTTCCTCCTGTCTTCTGCCTATTGCTAGCGTCTCTAAACCAGGGGTGTCCACACTATTTCAGCTTGGGAGCTATTTTCAAATGACCGGGGTAAAGCGATCTACCTACATTGAAAACTACAAATATATCTTTGATTAAATGGCTGTAGTTGTAGTACACAATACCGTCTGACTAAATATGGTCCTCTGCTAACCTCACCATTTCACTGTTCTCTCTTTTGTTTACGCACATGTACTCTGTCTTGCCACGACTGACCTTCATTCCTCTTCTTTCTAGTGCAAATCTCCCCCTCTCTAGGTTCTCTTCTAGCCGCTGCCTACTCTCACTACAGATCACAATGTCATCTGCAAACATCATAGTCCATGGGGACTCCTGTCTGACCTCATCTGTCAATCTGTCCATCACCACAGCAAACAAGAAGGGGCTCAGGGCCGATCCTTGATGTAGTCCCACCTCCACCTTGAAGTCTTCTGTCCTTCCAACAGCACCCCTCACCACTGTTGTACTATTCTCATACATGTCCTGCACCAAACTAACATACTTCTCTGCCACTCCTGACTTCCTCATACAAAACCACAATTCCTCCCTTGGCACTTTGTCATATGCCTTTTCTAAATCTACAAATACACAATGTAGCTACTTCTGACCTTCTCTGTACTTCTCCATCACCATCCTAGCTTCAACTACTTTTTCCCAAATCTTCATTGTATGGCTCATCAACTTTATCCCTCTGTAGTTGTTACAACTCTGCACATCACCCTTCTTATAAATTGGCACCAGAACACGTTTCCTCCACTCTTGTCAGGCATCTTGTCGGTCTCTAAAATTGAACCACCCAGTCAGGAAATGTACCGCCACTTCTCCTAAGCACTTCCATACTTCCACTGGGATGTCATTGGAACAAATTGATTTTCCACTCTTTATCCTCTTCAGGTCTTTTCTTACTTCATCCTTTCTAACCTGATCTACCTTCTTCCTAATAGTTTCTGGCTCCTCATTCCTATGTTCCCTTTCATTTTCCTCATTCAACAACTCCTCAAAGTACTCCTTCCATCTTCTCAGCGCACTTTCCTCACTTGTGATCACATTCCCCTCTCTGTCCTTAATCAACCTCACCTGCTGCACATCCTTCCCAGCTTGATTTCTCTGTCTCGCCAATCTATACAACTCCTTTTCTCCTTCCTTTGTTTCCAAACTCACGTACAACTCCTCATATGACTTTTGTTTGGCCTTGGCCACTTCCCTCTTCACCTCCCTTGTCATCTTTGTTCCCTTCTCTTTTGTCACTGTCCAATCTCTTCTTTGCTAATCTCTTTCTCTGCACACTCTCCTGGATCTCATCATTCCACCACCAGGTCTCTTTGTCCTCCTTTCTCTGCCCAGAGGACATACCCAGCACCTTCCTACCTGTCTCCCTAATCACTGCAGCTGTAGTCTCCCAGTCATCTGGGAATTCCTCAACACGGCCCAGAACTGTCCTTACTTCCTTCCTGAAGTCTTTACAACATGTCGCTTTCCTTAATTTCCACCACATGATCTTCTGCTCTGTCTTCACTCTCTTTTCATTCACTCTTCTTTTCATTTTTTTCACCTCCATCGTCATCTTGCACACTACCATCCGATGTTGTTTGGCTACACTCTCGCCTGCCACCACATTACAGTCTCTAATCTCCCTCAGATTACTCTTCTACATAGAATATTATCTATCTGTGTGGACCTTCCTCCACTCTTGTACGTCACCCTGTCTTCCTTTTTCTTTTGGAAATAGGTGTTTACCACATCCATTTCCATTCTGTTTGCGAAATTTGCCACTGTCTGTCCTTCCCAGTTTCTATCCCTAACACCAAACCTGCCCTTCACTTTCTCATCTGCTTTGTTCCCTTCCCCTAGATGACCATTAAAGGATTGGGTGGTCCTCTACCACCCAATCCAGCTCATTCCAGAACTTCTCATAGCATAGCACAGTATTTATGCTATTTTTTAATAATGAATCTTGGTGATCATTTTCCAGTGAGATATTTCATGCTTGATGTCTTGTGCTTCTGCAAAGTGATGACATTTGTTATGGCATATGTCACACATATTTAAAGCTAGTATTCACATTTTACTGCATGATTGCAGTTTATGATTAGAAGAGGTAAGTATTTTACTTTAGAATGGAAAGAGTAAAATAGTTCTTAACGTTGTTATGTGTCCAAAAAATATACAAATGGAAAGAGTAAAATAGTTCTCTGAAAAACGTTGTTATGTGTCCAAAAAATATACTATTATTATTACCATTCCTTTAGGTGTTGTTATGGGCGTAGTGTTCGGGATGCTTCTGCGATATATGAGAGTGACTGACGGCCCCACGATCACTATGGTTTCCTTCCCTGGAGAAATTCTCATGAGGATGCTCAAAATGCTAATACTGCCTCTCATCATATCCAGCCTCATCACAGGTGTGTTATTACAGAGCAGTTTGTCTTTATGACAAGTTAATAACCTAACATTGAGATTATGTCAAAATGCTTGATATATACATTAAACATTCACTTTACAACATATTTCTTAGTTTTTCTAAATCTAGGAAAAAATAAATCAAAATTGAAAAAGCTTAATTCAAAGTTAAAACTGCAGTGACCTCAGTCCATGGGGAAAAAAATAATGAACATGTGTCTTTCAGGTCTGGCTGGTTTGGATGCCCGCTCTAGTGGTAGGATGGGTACTAGAGCGATGGTGTATTACATGTCCACCACTGTAATAGCTGCAATTCTTGGCGTGATCCTCGTGTTGGGGATCCATCCAGGGAATCCCAAACTAAGGGGGAGCCAAGTAAACACAGTATCAAAAAACCAGGAGGTCAACAGTCTGGATGCTTTCCTCGACTTGATCAGAAATCTCTTTCCTGAGAACCTGGTGCAGGCCTGTTTCCAACAGGTAAACTATTGAAGTTCATTAGTTCATTTTAAAACTAATTTGGAGGAACATTTATTAGAGATTCTGCCTTTTGTTGCAATTCAATTACCAAAGCCCAGCAATCACTTTTCTAAAGCGCAAGACACTCTACACCAGGGGTGTCAAATGCATTTTGGTTCAGGGGCTAGATACAGCCTGATTATGCCTAAAAAATATATCTTAAACATACTTTAACTATAGTGGTGCTTTGACCCACGGAGAGGCAATGTCTCTGTCATTGGTGTGGAACCCCAGGGTTCACCTCCTTGGCAGGATCAAATCCCGGTTAGGTTGGTACGTTGCAGTGTGATTTGGGTGATGGTCATAGAGACTGCTGCCCCCGCGACCCAGTAACGGATAAGCGGATTAAAATGGATGGATGGATGGCATACTTCAACTACACATATATGCGGATGGACTTTCTGAAATTTAAAAGTATGTGTTTAGGGACAAGAAATCGATGTTACGGTAAACGGAATGTACTGGCAGCAGAGTTGTCAGTGAGTACTTACATACTGTATGTACGCGCATAGTTAAGTGATGTACAAGCAGCATCTCACCCATCTCACCCCAGACTCTTACTCACTTGGGCCCTCTACTGTGCGTGAGTCTATCAATGAAGACTGAAGTTTAGATATGGTATTTAGGCTTAGTACTGTACTGTAATGTACATACGTTATTATTGTTGGTTCTCTATCTTATGTCACTTTCCATTGATTAAATAATGTTACCAGGTTTGTGTGTTTTACAGTACCTGAAAAGAAAGAGAAAAGGTAAAATACTACAGTTTAAATGGCCTATATGTATGCAAATGTACAACATTTTAGCTGGAAATTATTTTGCTTTAAAATGAACAATATGGCATTGAAGTTGGTGTGGTTGATGTCTAAATAACACAAGGAAATGAGCAGATGCAGACTTCACTAGTACTACTACTACTGTCGCTATTTATTTTTTACATCATACAAATTTGAGTCATCAGCAAAGAGTGTAGTCGATTGCCGACAACAACAAATATTTGATCAAATGCAATTGTTTGTTAGCGTTAGCAAATTTTTGTTTTTCTTTTACGCTTCTGACTTTAGGTGTCCTCCTGTTATTTTCCATCTCCAGGTTCAGACAGTGGTAAAAACTGTGTCAGTTTTGGGACTCAACCAAACGGAACCTGTCGGACAAAAGACACTGGAATACAAATGGGGCATGAACGTTCTTGGTAAGGCAATGTCAAAGGAATGCATATTTTTCTTTGCACATGTTAAAAGCAACATCTCTGCTTTTTCAACATCTGTGCACATTTGCAATGGGTCTTTTTATTTGACTTTAATAAGTGATATACTGTACAAGTGGCGCTTTGGCCCAGAGGCAATGTCTCTGTCATTGGTACGGAACCCCAGGGTTCACCTCCTGGGCAAGTTCGAATCCCGGTTAGGGCGGTTGGTACTTTCCAGTGGACTCACCACCTGCAGGAAGGTTTGGGAGGTTGGTACGGTGCAGTGTGATTTGGGTGGCGACTGCTGCCCCCGCGACCCGGTAACGGATAAGCGGATGAAAATGGATGGATGGGAGAGAGAGATGTACATAAACAGAACGGAACCCAAACAGCTCAGCAATCCCATACCCTCCCACCACACCCTAGACAGCCATTGACTATAGAAATGCAATATAAATAAACACAGAAAGAGCAGTAGTAACAGTACAATTTTGAAATAAGCAACATATGTGTGCACCCCAATCAAAGTACTTAAGACAAAAATTGAACTGCTGTGACAATGCAAAGTTCCCAAACTACAAGGCAGTCATGGATGGTTCCAAAAAGCGTTCTCTCCCTTTAAGGTATGCAGCCTTTAATGGGTAATGGGTATCTAAACCGCCTTGTAGAAGACGGTGATACTAGGTGGATATTCTTCAATCCAGTGGTTACACATTTCGTGTGGTGAGGGCCTGGGGGCGCACTGCGCGGGGCTGCTACTGCTTCTCTGAGCAGATGGAATGGGCAACAGCAAAAACAAGTGTGAAAATTAAAAAATAATGGACTTCTTTGCAATATTATGATCAAATATTCATTTAGACCTCCTTCAACCAATCCATTCCTTGCCACTCTCAGACAATATGCTATGTTACGTTTTATTCATTCATTCCATCCACACCCTCCACTTTGGGAACCTCTGACCTATTCTTTGACTAGTCATTGAATTACTCTTCATAGATATTTGCAACAATTGAAGAATGAACAGATTACCGTGATTACCCTATACATGTAAATACACAAAAATTTGAATCTCATAGTTATCAAGGAAAAGGTTTACCTCAACCGTGAGGTTTACATTGAGGTGACAAATGTAATTAAGGTGTAAATAATTTTGGTGTTCTGTTTCCTGTGTTTCTCCTCCAGGCGTTATTGGATTCTTCATTACTTTTGGGATTTGCATGAGCCGGATGGGGGAACGTGGAAAAATGATGTGTGACTTCTTCAACATCCTCAATGAAATCATCATGTCCATGGTCTCCTTGATCATGTGGTCTGTTTCTTGTCCAATGCTGATTTTTTTTTGTCCTTATTGTGCACGAGTTTGTATGTCTCCCTCTTCAAGCAAACACAATGAATGCATCTGTTTTTGCTCATGCAGCCACCGGCTACATTGCTTTGACATTCTCCAAATACCACATATGAGGGCAGCGACAGTGATTGATAATGTTAACACTGCGCAAAATGCAGAAAAAAGGTGAGAAGAAGGACCAAGTTAGTTGAGAAGAAAAGAACAGGGTTTGTCTTAGTGTTTGTGAAGGACACTGACAGCTGGAGAGAGAGAGAGAGAGAGAGATTTTCCTTTCAAAATCTTAAGTATGTGGTATGCCGAGTAGTAGCAAGCCAGAGCCTGGAACAATGTTACTAGGTCCCAGGAGAGCAAGGCAGAATATCTCCAAAATGTAATGGATCTACCAACAAAGCAGATGTCGGCAAAAGCGACAGCTGTATGTGGAAAGAAATATGTTAAGGCTTTACAGAAGCTGTAAAGACAGGGAGTGTTGTCGGAAGGAGGGCAGCAGGCAGGGCACTGGTGACATCATTAAAATTCAATTACATTTAACATTTCAAAATTAGAACAAGAAATTGCTAAATCGTTGCTAAGATAGATAGATAGATCAGACCAAAGGCTCATTGAGTGAATGCAGCAACCTTTGGAGTATATTAGGTGGCAGTCGTAAGACAAACAACAGAAGTCTCCTGCTCTCTCTCTCTATCGCTCTCTCTCTCTCTCTCTTTCTCTCTCTCTCTCTCTCTCTCTCCCTGCCATTCTTGGCTATGGGCACAAGCAGCTGAACACCAAAGGAAATTTGCCTTCTTTCCCATTGCTGGCTCAGTATAAACAGCAGATATGACATACCTCAAATGCTATACTTGACACCCAACCTGCCAAATATCTGCTGGGCAGTGGTTCCCAAACTAAACTATTTGTCAACCATTATACTGCAAGTGTGTAACGATTACAGAATTATGAAAGGCACATGCATACATTGAAGAGATTTTACATGCCTAGTCCCCACTCTAAAATCATTCACTTTTAAACTTTTGAATCCAATTGATTGTATGTAACAAATCTCTGCTTATATTAACACAGTGAAACAGCCTGGAACAAATCAATTTTACACATTTCTTGACTTGATTCAACTGCAACGGAAAAGTTGCACTAGGAAACAATGGAATGATGTACGAGGGAAAAAACAATTGTGGGAAATGTCACAATTGACATATGTTTCACCTACTATGACCTTTATGTGGAAATGTTGCAGCGTGGAAGTCATTTTTCCGATTCCCATGATTGTTTTGGCAACTTTCACTGATCTAAATTGAAAACTAAGATTAATTACATTAAGAAGAAACCCACTTTGAATTCAATCTTGAGTTATAACAATCTGTCTCAATTATTTTCTGCCATACTAGGCATCCTAGGTGACAGAAGTTTTTTCATGCCGCCCACTCCGAAATTAAAATTCTATTGAGCGCCTGGTAATATTTATTTACAGTGTTCCCTCTCTATATCGCGGTTCTCCTTTTGCTCCTTCAGTACATCGCAGATTTTTTTTAATCCGTTCCGCAGAAGTTTCGCTGTATGGTGGCTCCTACTAGTATAAGGAGAGGCTTGATTATTCCAATTGTGCTCACCTGAATCTGGGGCTGCACCTGCGTCGCCACTCCCGTGCTTTCAGATGAGCGTTAACCTGCGCCGCGCCCCCACAATGTGTATTTAATTTATTTACGTAATATATATGTCTTATATTTCCACTCTACAACTCTACATGGAAAGGTTAATACAATCTAGGGAGGGTTGATAAGAGTGTGTGGGAGGTTCGTAAAATGCTAAATATATACATAAATAATTAAAAAAAACATCTTGCCCCAACTTCACGGAATTTCTCTTTTCGCGGTGGGTTTTAGAACGCAACTACCGCGATAGGAGAGGGATCACTGTATATGTATATCTGTACAAACCACCGTATAAATTGCTGACACCAGCATTCTGCATGCAATCCCCTGATTAACATGTTATTAAGTTATAACAATAGGGCTAAATAAAGAGCAATAACCCAAGACATTATCCAAGGTGGATAACATACTGTTGAGTTTACAGGTGCAAGTACTTTTGTCTGATATCCTTGACAACTGAATGTTCAAAGCCTTTGTATCTCTATTTCTAGGTACTCACCTGTGGGCATTGCTTCACTGATCGCTGGTAAAATTGCATCCATTGGAAACCTGGAGATGGTGGCCAGACAGCTGGGCATGTACATGGTGACTGTCATTGTGGGACTAGTGATACATGGAGGCGTGATCTTGCCTGCAATATATTTTGGAATAACCAGAAAAAGCCCTCTAGTTTTTTACTCGGGGATCTTTCAGGCCTGGATCACTGCACTTGGCACTGCAAGCAGGTACACACATTAACTGTGTATCTTTGTGTGAGTGGAGTTATGAACGGTGTTTTTTCTGTTTTTGTATCTGGACCACATGCCTTTTTGACAGCATCCCTGCGTAAGAGAGCTACTGCTACTTTAGCTAGTGTGATTGGTCAGCGTATGTCATGTATGACAATGCGTCTGGCAGAATTCCTGACAAATTGGACTAGTAGAGTCAAAAACACAACACTGCATGCTGTGTTCAGAGTGAAGACTGAAGGCCATTGACGGCATTTGTGAAACAATTGTGTCCTCCGCCCCCTTTTTTTCTTTTCGTGTGCAGATATCAATTTTTAAACTAGCTTCTGTAAAAGCCTGTGAAAATTAAGTTTCACACTTTCCCCATCTAACAAACTTCATCCTGTGATGATTGACAAATGATTCACATATGAAAAAGAAATCCACATATAAGAAATCTAGTCCATACAAAAATAAAATCAAAAGCCTTCCAATACATCCAGCAATTTGTCCCTTACAATATTAGTTCCCAGGTCCCTCCCCACCACCACAGCTAGGATATCATCAGCATATAATAACACTTTTGTTACAGCTTGTGAAATGAGGAGGAAAGTAAGACCCAATTGTAGCAGTCTAGAAATGAAGAAACTTAATGGAAATTGGACAGGGCAGAAACAAACAATATGTAGGAATTCAGTATTACAGGAACAAACAAGAGTTTGAACAAAGCATGGACATAAATAATTTAATTAATTTGAACTTTATTGATACCACCATTGGGAACAGATCTACTGCAACAGGCTTGTAGCCACCAAGTATGGGGCTCTGGGAGTCAAAACCAGGACTGTTCTCTGCTTTAAAGGCAGGGGTGCTTACCATTACACTATGGAAGCACTCAGAGCAAGGACTCGGGACTATGAACACTGAACAACACAGAGAAACATGCAGTAGAGAAGGGAGACAGACAGACCTCACAGATCTGTGTTGTTGGGCCACACTCCACTCCCTTGATTCCTGTATTCTTATACTTACTTACAGCCAGGGTTTCTTAGAAAAAAATTACAAACAGTAAAAGGCTTGAAGGTGCCTCTGGAAAGGCCAAAAAAGCCTTCACCACAACTTGGGCCAGATTGAGTC